AGAAGTTGCAGGCTTGAGGTTGACACCGCAGCGGACCACAGCCAGCTAGATGGAGTGCAGGGCCCGGGGGGAGAGTGCTTAATTTGCCACCACAAGTACTAATATTCTTTCTTGAGCCCGCCCTTATTAATTATATAAGTAGGCAAAACGCTCCTAGCCAGCCACTTAAGCTATTAGTATGGATGCAGGATAGCTCACGCTTCTTCAAGGAAGCTCCTCCCACCTGAGGGGGAGCTTCCTTGAAGAAGCGCTCTCGCACTAATGATTTGGTTCCTATACACGCCAACTTTATTCTAGTTTCTTCATTTCCATGTTGGAACATGTTGAGTTATGTCTAGCTCTGGAATAGGGGCAGTGAGGAACGTTTGGACCTCAGGCCTGTCTCGAAGATGCTGCGATCGCTACCTCTTGGGAGAATCAAAGCTAAGCGTCAAAGCTTTGAGGCATGGGATTGACAAAACAACAGGCCACCTGCTCCAAGCGGCTGGCGCGACATGCGTTTTCCCATCCCTGGCATTGTCCGCAAGTATATAAATCAGTTCCATATTAGCGTTATTGTATCTCTCTCTCCATCGCCTTCTCGAAGAGTTCAGCTAAGCTAAAGGCGTTATTGTACGCTATTATTAGTCTATTTTGGCTTCGATCTCACAGGCCTGCAATGCAACTAGCTTCGATGAGGTGATGTCCTGCATGGCAAGTCTGCAAAGGTGACAATCTTAATCCTAAACAAAATCCTGGCCTTTATTCGCAGCTGCTTGTGGCAAATCAGCGAAAGTGCCTAGAAGAAACTGCGAACTGCGCAAAATCTCTTTGCGTGGCAAGCATTAGGGGCCCTGTCATGATGCTTCATTGTCGATTCTCTCCTCAAGAATGCCAACATGGCCAGCATCATACCATATATTACCATCCCATGTCGCATGTCATGACTGCGGTATTGCGATGCCTCCAGGGGCTGCCTCAATGACTGCTTGGTTCTTTCTCGCCATGCCTCAGTTGTCAGCTAATCCAATCCGATACTTTAAGTCCTTTAAGTACTTTTCTCCCAAGCTGTGGGCCCGCAGCACCAGCGAGATGCCAAGCTTGCCGAATGCCTATGGAGCACATCAAGAACTGGGTGGCAACATCAACCATGAAACATGTCAGCAACCTCGTAAAAGATGTTAAAGCCTTGAAGTTTGCCCAGAACCTGAAAAGGATCCGATATGAAGGATCTTTTCAGAATAAAACGGAGAACTGAAGCCCTTGCCTTTGAAAGCCTCTCTCCTGCAGTCGACTCCGACGACACCAACCGCCATGCCTCACTGGCGCATTGGCTCGTTGTGATTGGGATGCCCACCATGTGTCCGGCAAAGCTTAAGCTGCTCTGGCTCAGACGAAAAGAATTCTTAACTGCAATGCTCTAGCCTCAGAAATCTCACGGCTCACTGCTTACCACTCTCATGTACTCAGCTACGCTCAGCTTGCCGGATCTGGTTGCTCCGAACTTCTCAGAATGACACCAAGTCGGGTGAAGAGATCTGCCCTGTGGAGCTCCTGCAGGTTGGAGACTAGCACTGCAATGCAACCACTTTATCTTTACCTTCTTTACCCTGCACCACCAGGGCAACGTCTCATCCCTTGAGTTTTATAAGAATATGTTGTTCAAGTAAGGTTCAAGGGAAGACAATAAGTGAATAACATGTGGCGTTCATCACATTATGTGTGTTATTGCAATGATGAAAGCCTCTAACAGTATTAACAATAATCTTACCATTAAGGTATGTTATGGAAAAACTAATGGTTGTCATCTTTACTATTTCATTGTGTGCAAAACGAATTAGAAGAATCCCTCACAATAAGATTAATATGTTGTCTTCTTATCCCAGTTTTTAATGGTATGTTCTTTACGTTAAAATATGGTATGGATATGATATTGTTGGCTTCCTTTTTAACTACATTCTTATTTAAAAACAATAACATTCCAAATATAATTTGAATCTGTGGCCACAATAAAACTATTAAGATATGTGGCCATACCTATAATACTATAAGAGAAGACTTAACAAGCCCCCCACAACTTGAAATCGAGAAAAAACACTCGGTGTGTGGAACATGTTGAAACCTCCACGAAGTTTCTTGTTGCATGTCTTGCATCGTTTTCCACAACAGTGTTCCAAACACAAAGTCACAACCAGAATGCGATGCAAATAATTAATGATGCCGCCGAGGCACGTGGAGTTGGTCTCTTCCTTGGCAATCCAAGCAATGGCACATGCTCAGCACAACAGCACATCTTGGCATGATTCTTCCCAAACAAGTCATAACAAGTCCCTGCCTGACAACCATCAGGCACTGCTCCGACCTTTTGGTATTCCCCACGTCGCCAAGCCAACACAAGGTTCAAAAAAACTGCTGCCAGTGCCTGGGTTTCGAAGGCCCACTGCCCTTCCTGGGGCCCTTCGGCTTCCCATGCAAGGAGAGTTCGCCTGATCTTTGGACTCGACATAGTTCATGAAAAACAGAAAACCGTTACCTTTGACCAAAGCAAAGGAGACTAAACTCAGTTCACATCATTCACCAAGATATGCCTCAACCTGCGCAGTGGCGCATCTATTTCCTCTGCATCCTCTCGAGGATGGAACACGGCAGCATTGGAATCAAGGCCATACGTTAGCCATGTGATTTCTCATTAGGCCCTTATCAGACTTGTAAGTCTTGCCATGGTAAACCGGAATCTTAGCAGTAGAGTCATCAAGTCCTGAGCAGCTGCAAGGGCCAAAGCCCTCTTCCGTGCCTTTTCCAATCTGACTCTTTGCACGCCAGCACACAACTCGCACATCACAAGCAGTTGCAGCAGGCAATTTTCAGAGCCTCGGAACTGATGTCGGTGAGGCCAACCAAAAACTGTTGTTGTCGATGTGTCTTGTTCTGCGGGCGATCCTGAGATAAACGGCAGCACCGCAAGCAAGACTTCGGCCTCACAAATGTTGACTTGGAATGACCATCTTGTAGGATCCAAGGGGCATCTACAAACGACAATGCCATGGCATGATTTGCAGCTCTGTAGCTTGTGACCAGTTCGCAAATGGTTTTCTTCGAGTCTCAACACATGCAAAGCATACACCTCCTGCGTGCTGGAAGATCTTCTGCTGCAATAATGTGTGAACCTACCCTCTTGGTACAGCCAGCGGCGGATCCAAATATCAAATTGCAGCAGCAAACAAGAAAGCCATTGAAAGCAAATATGATCTTGCTTTAGTTTGGCAAATCCCAAGCAAAGGTTTAGGGATAGAATCGGGCCTGCTGTGGTGGGGATGCAACAGCTTCAAAAAGGTAGGTAGAGGCACATCCGGGTGCAGAGTGGCACCATTATATAAGTCACTTGGAGTGGAGAGCGGGCGGAATGTTTCTCAGGGAGAAGAGCCTGTGGCAAAAAACTAGATATTACATCACAATGGCAAGCGCCGATGATACAAAAGCAAAGGTCGCAATGAAGCCAACACATGGCCTGTCAAAAAACTGCACATGCCACGATTTGAAAGGCCACCGCAGTAATCAGCAATGCCCACCAAGGTTCCACACAGGAAAGCGGGTCCAACAAACAATCTCTCATATATTCTTATATATTATTGCACATGTCAAGCATCATGTCAGGGCCATCATCCTTCTTGGAGCCTGAACCGGATGAAGGAAGGATGGTCGACGACTGATTGCTCCTCTTCAGTGGCTTGCACTTGCAGTGAAAGTCACCTTGGTGTTTTGAAAGCCTCCTGTGGTTCTGTGCCTTCGTTGTTGGAAAATAATTTGCAGCAGTCAGATGCATGTGGAACATGATGTGTTGGGGGGTAGATTTGTAGATGTAGATCAGCACAGGACAAATGCGGTGGCTGAGGAAAGGGTTGGACTGTAGTGGAAGCATCTGGAAGGCAGCCTCCTTCAGAATCTAGGTCAAGCAGCACGAACAAACAAGTTGATAGATATGTATTATATATATACATATAGTATATTTATTATTATACAATCAAATATGCAGGCAGGATGCACAAACATATTGAAGAAACATTGCGCTCGTCCAAAAGGAGGTTCTACCCCAAGGGGACCACAATGGAAAGTTGTCCAAAGCGCACTCTTTGCGAAACGCACTCGTTCACACCGCAATTGAACGTTTGGAGAGCTACCCTCAGTGAGGCTTAACCTTATGTGACAGGGAGGCTATGTCGCTGCGCAAAGGAGCTGCCGGGTAGGCTGCAGGAGGTGTTCTCAACCTCTCATGAGATTACTGATCAAATCGGTTTGAGTTGAGTGGCCCCTTTCCGAGGCCACTGCCAGTTACCAAATGAGAAAGCCTGAGAAGGAATGAAGCGATGAAATCATCTGATAAGACAGTCTTGCAGTGCAAAAAGCTGAAACATACATAATCATGATCATATTGAACATAAGGCCTAGTACAGTAAGCTCCATATCCAGTACATATCACATCATTGAGCCGTCCTCTTTCCGCATATTACTGAGCATTGGCCCTCCAGTGCTGCGAAACGGTGCTGCACCCCTTCCACAACCTGCCGTTTAGGTTGGCAAATTCTCCAAGTCGCTGTATTCTGCACGGTTGTTTCCTTTGCTTGGTGTCCTTACTATCCTCCACCAAAACTCTGGACATGCTATCGCTGCTGCTGCTGGAGGTCCAGGTTGTCTAGTGAGCCACAACTACTTGTACTTATTATACGTAAGCGTTGCAAGAGCTTCTGGAAGCTTGTGGGCCAAAAGCGTGCAAACGTGTAACGTTGAAATTTGGAGCTACAAGATCTGAATCTTGTATTTCAGGCTGCCACTTGTGAGCGCGCAGCATCCTGCCAAGATGACAGTAAGCAAACCGCCATGAGTTACACAACAAAGGCAGGCCATTCCTTTCGAATGCCACAAAAAGCTAAGCAGCTGAAACAGTTCCCTTCACCATTCGCAGTGCCATGCAACTGCAATTCCCAGTTCCTTCTCTTGCAGGTTGGAGGGGAGGAGTGCAGCCTTCAAGAGCTGCCACTCTGCACTCTGCGTCGGAGTTGCACATTGCTGTCATGAAAGTTCGGCGCTGGGTGGTCGGCTTCAAATTTGGCACGCTCACGTAAACGTGACACGCATCTTTCCTGCAATCCGAATGACCAACACGGGCTTTTGGTGGAACACTCCTACACATCACTGACGTTATTCCGCTTCCGCCCTGCCCGCACAAAAGTCCTCGCACTCCCGGCACTGCTCCACAAAGGTTTGCAATTGGTTTGCCACTGGAGGCAGTGGCCGTCTTCTGCCTGAGCAGTTGTCATGTCACCACAAGTTGATCACCCTTCACGTTTTCACGTTGCACCCCGCCTGCTGCAGCAATTGAGGCATGCAGCTCCTTCGAAAAAGAGTCTGTGGGCTCTGGGGGGGCCATGATGGTCAAAGCCATGTTCCCTCTTTTCCTGACCTTGACACTCTTTGGCCTCATGGCTTCCATAATGTCCTTGGCTATGCGCGAACGAAAAAGAGTACGGCATTTGTTTTGCTTTCCCAACTTGCCGCCCAGGGCACGCCACTCTTCGCCATGACTCTGCGATCTGAATGAATAGGTGATATATATATATATACATATGTTTACATATACAGTATATATATATGGGCGTGCGTGTGTAACCCTTGGACTCACAGGGAACCTTTCGGTTTGGAGCGGGGAGCGGTGGGCATTCTTGAAGTCACCGCTCAACGAAGACACTTCAAGTTTGCTGTGATATGCAACCTGGACGCAGATTGCACGTACCTGCGCGAAGATGATCACCACTCATTTCCTTTCGAGAATTCTGGCCATCGCACCTCGGCAGTCACGCACTTGTTTTGAACTTGACGTTTGAGTTTGGAGGTTTGCAGGTTCTCGTCGCTTTGAGGGAAGTCACTTGGTGGTGTTTGCACCTGGCACCTTAGGGGGGTTTTACTTAGGCTGGCGTGTGGCAACCGCTTTCAAGTCAGTACACATTTCTCTGAGTGTGTCTCTCCTAGTGAGAGCCCAGGGTGACCCCGCAGAGTGGCCCCTGTGGACCCATCGAACGGGTGTTAGTCCATTGTTCCCCCTGCCCGGGAACGTAGGTGTCCGAAGCGGACAACGGAGGCTTATGCCAAAGTTATTTGCCAAGACTTGACGAAGTATTGAATTCCAAGCTGGCTTCTGCCTTCACGTGACCATAGCGGTCAAAGCTGCCAGCCATTTTGGCACGGCGTACGTGGCCGCAGCGGCCGAAGCTTGTTCAAGACTCGTTGGACTCTGTCGCAACCTTGGCCCCTTCCTCCTCCCCTCCCTTCCTCTCTCCCTTCTTTATCATCTTGGTGTGTTCCTGAATGTAATGCTCAGGTACACCCCCCCTCTCTCTCTCACTGGTGTGTCCCTGGACGCTTGTTCGTAGCTGGGAACACCTGCCCTTCTCCTTCCTCTTTTTCCCTCTCTCTCTCTCTCTCTCTCTTTCCTTTCTTCACCTTCCTTCTTCCTTGGGTGTCCCTGGATGCTTTCGTCGTAGCTGGGAGCCCTTCCTTTTTGGTGTGTCCTTGGACGCTTGTGTCGTAGCTGGGAGCACCTTTCTTCCTTTTTTCTCCTTCTCTTTTCTTCCTCCCTTCCCTCCCCTTCCTTTCTCGCGCGCGGCGTGCCTACAAACAAACAAGGCTTCTGCAATAGGTTTCTCAATGAGGTTTGGGTTTGTCATCGGTTTGTCCCCTTTCTTTTGGTTCCCCTTTCATTGGCCCCCACAAGCGTCTTCCTTTCTTTTCGTTCATGTCTTTCTGTCTTCATGTCTCTTCATCCTCATCCTTCCTTCTCTTGCGCGCACTTTCGTCCGGACCTTAGCTTGTACACATACACGCACGCGTATTCTACTTACAACTAGGTTCAGGTGGCCCAGGTTTGTTACAATGAGGTTTGGCTCATCGGTTGCCCCTCTTCACTTGATTCTTCTTCATCGGCAATCACACACACTTTTTGTCTGTCTCGTCCTTTTCCTTTTCATCTGTCTCGTTTGCGTGCACATGTGCCTCGCGTAACCCCTTTTCCGGGCAGGATGGGGGCGCCTCCTTTCAGGGCAGGCACACGCCTCCCTTCGGGGAGGCGTGTGTGTGTAACCCTTCGACTCACAGGGAACCTTTCGGTTTGGAGCAGGGGAGCGGTGGGCATTCTTGAAGTCACCGCTCAACGAAGACACTTCAAGTTTGCTGTGATATGCAACCTGGACGCAGATTGCACGTACCTGCGCGAAGATGATCACCACTCATTTCCTTTTGAGAATTCTGGCCATCGTACCTCGGCAGTCACGCACTTGTTTTGAACTTGACGTTTGAGTTTGGAGGTTTGCAGGTTCTCGTCGCTTTGAGGGAAGTCACTTGGTGGTGTTTGCACCTGGCACCTCAGGCGGTTTTTACTTAGGCTGGCGTGCGGCAACCGCTTTCAAGTCAGTACACATTTCTATGAGTGTGTACATTTGCATCATGTATCATATACGTGTATGTATGTATATGAATTACATACATATATGTATGTGTACAATATAGTTGTGAATCTCTGACCGTGTTCTTCGTGGTTTGCAGTAGTGTGCTTCAGTCATCGTCGCAAAATTGTTTCGCATGGTGCTTCTCAATCTTGCGGTAATCTTGCTGTTGTCGTGGTCCCTGGCTTAAGTCCTGACCTGCACCTGTCATGACAGTCTTTGCAGCTTCTTAATTAATTGCACCTGGCTCTTCATATATATATATATATTTATATACATACATACTATATATGAAGCTTCAACGTGCACCACCAAGCTGCGTTCGACACTGGATCTATTGCTGTGGATTCATGCCCTTTGCTGACACAAGTCTTGTAAACTCTTTTCCGCCGTTGGCAAAGCGACTAGTGGACTCACAATTGTCCATCTGAAAGCTTGGGATTCTGCCGCTTGATTAAACAGAACTGTCATTCAATGGCAGTTTTTGCATGTTTCAACCCCGTGCTTCTGGAGGGTTTCGCAGAATCATCTGCAATTTTGGGTCTGCTTCTTTGGAAGCAGGCCTGCCGCATGACTTGACACGATGTGTAGGAGGCCGTCCGAGACTGTACAAGGGCTCTTGCGACTGGGCCGTCCAAATGACATTCGTGGACACACAACCAAACTACTTCAGTGGAACTGCTAGAGTCTGCTAGAGGTGGCTGAACAGCGTTTGCAAACCGTTCGATATGTTGATAGCTGCCAGCGGCAAGTTGTGTTCATACATTCCTAACAAAAGAGGTCTCCGCAACTGCAAAAGGTCATGACTCCGCCCATGCTGCTGGGACCTGTGCGCCTCTTTGCACAAGTATAGAACAAATATTTGAGTTACTGCATGGAAGATCGTGCTGCTATTCACTCCTCCCGCTTCCCTGCTCTTACGCTGACAGTGTCTGGCCTGCCACTGCAACACGCTGTTTAACACGTTTGCACTTGTTTGAACACACCTGGGTGTGAAGGAATCGCCTGAGCCTTGAAATGGCTGGAACTGCTGTGGCCGTTGCCTTGGACCAAGTCCGTTTCTATCATTGTTTTGTAGCGATGGGCGCAACATGAAAAGTGAGATGAAGTGAGCAGGTTACGTGTTCCTTTGACATTGCAGCTTCAAGGTCCCGACCCAGCTTGTCCTACATCACAAGGATTGACTGTGCATCCGAACATGGCAGGTCCATACACTACATGGACGCCAGCATAGGCAATGTCATAATATTTCACAACGGTCCGAAGATCTGGGCAAAAACTTGAGCTCAGCTTTCATTAACAAATTCATTAGATATATATATATATATACAGAGTAAGCAACACCTCTTTTCTTATTCGCTCTGCAGCTGAGTTGTCACAAAATTCAAATAATTGGGAACAAAAAAGAACTCCCACAAGTCGAAGAGATTGTCCCCCCCCTTCTTGGTCCACAACACAGAGAAGGGGGGCTCCCGGACAATCGTACCCCCCTGACCAGGTGGGCCACACCCCAAACCCTGGCCAGGTCCTGAGGGACACCAGCAGTTTTTCTTTCTCTCTCTGCTGGCTTTTTTAAAAATCTTTCTCTTTCTTCCAAAATCTTCCTCTTTCTTCCAAGCCTCGCTTTGACGAGGACGGCCTGTTGCTTTGCAACGGCTCAAGCGTTTCAAAAAATTTTGGTGGTTTAACTCGAAAAAAAGGTCCGAAAGGTGCCAATGTTATCAGTAAAGTCCTAAAGTCCTCTCGGCCAAAAAGGCCTGTCGGCCACCGCCCCACGAACCATGACCCGATCTAGATGTCTGCGTTGGCAGAACCGCCGTGTGGCTCCTCCTTGCCGTAAATGGTAGGGCCTGAGTTCCAAAGGTTGTCACTTAAGGCTCTCAATGCATGCTTTAAACAATTTCCGCCAACGAGGTGGCGAGAGACAAAGTCTCTTAAGCTGACGCAAGCTGTGTCCAAGGCTGTACAAGGCGGTGAGGGGTGTCCTGCCCTATGTAAAAACCTGTCCTGATCTGCAGGCTCGGTGCTCGGTCGTTTTCAGACCAAGGGCTTTAACAGTGGTACGGAGCTCTACAAAAACCTCGACTCCGCTTTGGACAATATCGACTCGGCTTCGGCCTATGTCCACCAAATCACTTGTGTGTATAACGCCGCAAAACATGCTAATAGGCTAGTGGCAAAGGTAAAATGTCCATGATTTAGGCTCTATTCGACCATATTCTGCAGGACCAAATCAGGGTAGCGGCGCCCACCTTGGCAAATTGTGGATAACCCACGTCTTAGCGACCTTTCAAACTCCAGGGAAGCGTCCCCGCAGGTAGTCCTGCAAAGATACCAGGGCGCCAGCGGCCAAACCACGCCTCTCCCCCGAGAGCCACAAGTGACAAGTGTTGATGTATTCCAAAACGAGCGGACCTAGATGCTCTTGACGGCTCGGGAGCTCCAGGCCCTCGGCCTTCAGGAAAACTATATGAACCTATTCAGCGCCGTCTCTTAGCAAGCTCGAGTCGCCAGCGGCCCAATCACCTGCTTTAGACTACCTCATTGAGGGTGATGCGAAGGCGATGGTGTCCTCGAATTTCCTCCGGCGTGCTGCTCAGCATCAGGCCCTTTAGTGGAGACCCAGTGTTCCAATTGCTCGAATTGGTTTAACAACCATGCTACCAAGGGCACTGACCATGCTTTCCAAACGCTCGAATGGGTTTAAGAACCATGCTACCAAGGGTACCAAGGAAGATTAGCCGACAGTCCGGAACGAGTGAATAGGTTCGAAACCCCTTTGAACCACTCGGCCTGGATACTATATTCCCAGGGCAAATCCCCGTCCAATTTCAGGTGGTGGCCCTGTACGGTAATGAGTTGCCGCGTCATCCAATTCAATCGTGAGCGGGTATTCCAACTCCGCCATCCCGCGTCCTATACTCAGGGCGTCTCCCCGAACGAGATGATGATCTTGTCCACCTTGCCCATCGATGCTACCCTTTTCTTCAAGGTC